ATTCTGCAGCAGGACAATGACCCCAAACATACAGCCAATGTTATTAAGAACTATCTTCAGCGTAAAGAAGAACAGGGAGTCCTGGAAGTTGTGGTTTGGCCCCCACAGAACCCTGATCTCAACATCATCGAGTCTGTCTGGGATTACATGAAGAGAAGAAGGATTTGAGGCAGCCTATATCCACAGATCTGTGGTTAGTTCTGCAAGATGTTTGGAACAACCTACCTGCCAAGTTCCTTCAAAAATTGTGTGCAAGTGTACCTAGAAGAATTGATGCTGTTTTGAAGGCAAAGGGTGGTCACACCAAATATTGACTTGATTTAGAGTTTTGAAGGCAAAGGGTGGTCACACCAAATATTGACTTGATTTAGACTGTATATATTTCATATGAAATATATACAGTGTACCTAGAAGAATTGATGCTGTTTTGAAGGCAAAGGGTGGTCACACCAAATATTGACTTGATTTAGATTTCTCTTCTGTTTGTTCACTTTGCATTTGGTAAGTTGATAAACATAAACAATTACAATATATATTTTTGAAAGCATTCTTACTGTACAGGATTTTTTCACACCTGCCTAAAACTTTTGCACAGTACTGTATATATTTCATATGAAATATATTTCATATATTAATTATATTTATGAAACACATTCAGTGTAATGTTGTTACCACATTCTTCTTCCATTCCAACAGGTCCAGATTGTGGAGTCTCTCCATTTTTTAGACAGTTATGAATATATGTTGCCTTCCACCGGGCATATTTTCTGTGCTGAACATTCTAGAAGGTAAGGGAGAATTTATAATTTAAATTTGTTAGTGTCTTAGACTGGGGGTGTTCAGAACTGAAAAGTAAAATAGATGGGCTGCTATATAAATTTAATAATTAAATAAATAAATGTTTTTAAAAAGTTTATAATGCATATAGTTACTACTTAATTAGGCTACATTTTGGTCCCTGTAAAATAAGAGCTGTAATACGATTTTTTAACTGATCTTCTAATTCACATTTTTACAGATTTATGGCACAAATGGGGAACCTAGCCCAATGGATGGATGCAATCATCTTAGATGAGGTTCTTGCCCACCAGTATACCTGTTTCATGCTGATCCATGCACTATACATCTCTACTCATTGAGAAAGTTGTACAATGGACAAAATGCTCAGGGAACCTCTCCATGTTTGGAATGGGGGATCTGGGTGAAATATGACTGATGCTTTGTCTAGCATATTCCGGAAGCCATCCTAATGAAGGCGGCATAGAGTGAAATGCTGCTCCATCCGGGATAAGGGAATAATGACTTCCTGCTCTATTTTGCATGGAACTTCTTTCCTTTTAGCTCAGTGCCCATGGCATCATTTGGCCCACTAGGGAAAGCAAGGGCTGAATCTGACCCTCAGCCTAGATGCGTGTCCCCATATCTATTATGAAGTAACTTTAACATTAATATCATAAATGTGTAGTTAAGATTTCTAGGCCTACAGGTTCAGCCTGCAACCCTAAAATTCAAAAATGGGCATTATTAAAAAAAAATTGCATTATAAAATAAAAAGAATTTTCTCGACATTTGTTGTGAACAAATGTACCCTCTTCAAACCTGCACACCCTAGAGGGACTCTGAACCCTCAGAGCATGTTTTTTGCAGAGGGAGGACAAGAAGTATAGAGTCATAACTGTTTGCCATGCTTCTCTCAGCAGATGCTTTTTTGGATTAAATTTTCCTTAAATAAAAATATTTGGGATGATATCTTCTTAAAGAGTTAGCTATAGGCTAGATTTTCATCTTTACTAAATATCTGGGAATATGATAAGAGATAAAAACTTTGTAAATTTTCTATAATAAAGCTTTCAAACAAGCAGTTTTCTGGTCAAATCCTCAGCAGTATGCAATTCCTTTTGGCTTGGAAATTCCAATTTCTTTCAGAGCACTTCAGGCCTAAACAATAGAACTGTTGTGAAGCTATTATTTTTTTCTCTCTTGCAGTTTCTTTTTAACCAGGTAGCAACTGAGCAGCTTTATAGTTCTCTATAATTTTCTACTATTCAGAAGGTGGTACTTTCCTAAGTAAATTTTCAACAGGAAACAGTCACAATAACAGGAATGCAGCCCAGTTCTTACGGATGCTAGGTTATTTACTCTCTGGAACATTTGTGATTGCTAAGGAGAGAAGGTCATAACTTTGAATCTCAACAGGAATAATCTGTCTGGCTTCAGAAAGGCATTAAATCAAAAATCTAGTGTGTCTGTACAACATTTCTAAGAAGCCAAGTATATAGTATAAATGACCTTTCAAAAAAGTTAAATTATATCCTAACCTCATTCCTTCTCTAGCAGAGAAGTATAATGCACCTGAACAAACCATCCAATTTCTATGGTTTTTGTCAAGTATAACTATGAACTGAAAATGCACTATTCAGTCTCACAAATTGTGTCTTTACTAAGTTTCAGGGAATTCACGTGTCCTGCTTCTGGGAAATTAATGACTTTAATATGTGTTTTACTATGTTTTTACTAAGTAATTATTCCAGAATTACCTTTGAAATCTGCCTATATTAGCTTCATGAATTTCTGAGATGGCTTTTCAACCTTCACAATTCCTTCAATTTTAATCACCAAAAGGAAAGTGCCAGAAAATGGAACAACTTGTTAAAATTGTAGTTCACCATGTCTAGTGCCTCCTGCACATGTGTAAGCAAAATAAATTGACAGGCAAGCTGGCATGCAAAATTTGAAGCAGCTTTTACAATGGTTTCTATTTTTTTCCTTTTGTCTGGCATACCTAATTCTAATCAATGCAGCCAAAACCTAATGTCTGTTTAAATAATACATCTTTTTTTAAAAAAAAAAATCCTTAGTAAATTATATTTCTCTTTTATTTAAAAGGACAGGTACTTATTGCACTGGATTTCTTCGTAGTCAGTGGATTCTCCCAGTCAAAGCATTACATTTCAAAAAAAAATTATTTAAAAGGGCATATGGAGCATGCTCTGACATATTTACTATTCTTAATAAAAAGAATATACCTATTTTATGCTATTTGTTTTTCCTTTTTGATCATCCCCTAACAATTATTTGTCAGTGCAGACCTACTTCAGAAGCAGGCTACAGGGCTGTCACTCTCTTCTTGCAGAGAAATCCCCCTAGTCTGTGATTTCTGTTGCCCCTTTTTGGGATGTTACTAATTCTGGTTAGACATTATAAAAAGTGGCCACACTGTAAGACCCCATGGTTTAGTTAGTCTGTAAACAATGACATTGCATTTCATTGACAATGCCTCTTCATAGAGGATTGAGGAGACAGATTTCTCCAAAGCCCAAAGAACCCTGTTGCATTTGTATCACAATTCTTTTCCACTTAATATAACTAAGTGGTTACATTGGATATAAATATGAGTTTTCTCATAATTAATGTTTAAAGCTTGTAACCATGATAGTTAAGTACAAATTAAAAATGTTTAAGATAATTAAATTAAAATGTTAAAAACTATTTATTTTGTCGTGTGTTTTATGATATATGACATCTGTTACTTACCTCATCTGTCAGTTCTCCAAATACCGTCAGGACATCTATTAGAAGACTTGCAGTATAAAAAGATTTAATCATATTTCTGGAAAAAAATAGATTTCTTAGAATGGGAATAAAAAGAAAAAAGTACACATCTGACAAATAATTAGACATGTAAAAAAAAAAGTTGTTACATCAAACTCATAAGCAAAGACAGAACAGAGTTATTCCAAGTTATATTACAGGTAGTCCTCGGCTTATGACCATTTGTTTAATGACTGTTCAAAGTTAAGACAGGACTGAAAAAAGTGACTTATGACTGGTCTTCACACTTACAACTGTCACAGCATCGCCATGGTCACATGATCAAAATTCGGGCACTTGGCAACCGGCATGTATTTATGATGGTTGCAGTGTTCTGGGGTTACGTGACCGCTATTTGTAACCTTCCCAGGGGGCTTCTGACAAGCAAAGAAAATGGGGGAAACCAGATTTACTTAACAATCATGCTTAACTGCGTGATTTGCTTAACAATTGCAGTTATTTGCTTAACGACTGTGGTAAAAAAGGTTGTAAAATTGGGTGCGACTCATTTAATGACCGCATGGCTTAGTGATGGAATTTCCGATCCCAATTGTGGTCGTAAGTCCAGAACTACCTGTATTTTTACAACCACTGATTCTAATAGTTTGCCAGAGACATTAGTTAAGTCTTATGCAACATGCAAATTTAGGCTGCGTTGCTTCAACACCTCAATTATTACATACAATATGTATTTTCTTTCACTACCTACTTGTGAAACTGTCCAGCTCGATCTTCATTATCTGCATAAAGAAACATTTTCAATGCATAATTCTCCACATGGGCACAGCCAACTATTTCCTGAGTAATTGCTTCATTATCGCCAAACTGTTTCTTCATCTAAAAAAATCCACAATTTACATGGTTATTTATCAGGCCACATATTGTAACTACAGGACCATATCAGGATTTCTGCTTCTCAAGAGGGGTTGCAAACTTCAGTCCAAATACTGCATTATGTCAACAGGGAGAATAGGGTAGTGGCTTTCACATTCTGTTCCTGTCAGTGAACAAGTTAGGTTTTACTCCTTCCCCATGATTTTGGAAGGGCACATTATGAAGTACCTGCTCTTCTAGATATTATCCATGGTATGGAGATGGCATCAAGATGATGTTCTGTTCCTTGTGGTTGCTGTGAATCAGTGTTTTATCAAGTATTACTCTCAGAAACTACATGGTAGGTCTAACATCTACACATTTGTCCTGTAGAATGTCCACCGACACTAATAAACAAACATCACTGATGATTTTGAAGAATATGTTTAATCAGCAAGTTTTTGCACTGTTTATATATAAGGGATTATAAGCAGCACAAGTGGTAATACTTGTCTGGGCACTGTATCCTGCCCAGGTATAAGCTACTACCAAGCAAAAAATATTCTGTTTCTTAAAAAGTTGCTATTATTAATTTCATTCACACTATAATCTATGAATATTAAAAATCCTTATTTAAAGAAAATGAAGGTAAAAATCCAAAATGCTCAAATAACTTCATTCTATGCCACAGCATTAAATCTTACAGTTAATAAACTTAATTTAGTTCTGTTCTAGCTGTATGACAATTTACCTTCTCATCCTACCCTAATACAGGTATGTATAAAGATTCAATAATATTTAGTTCATAACCTAATTCATGCCAATGGATTCAATAGAAACAAATAGTTACTTCTTGTGAAACAGCATGAAACATCTAATATAAAAAAAGATTTAATGAAATGGAGACTTCATAGGTAATTTAACTGCGCCAATGAACTGAAGATTTACGGGAATGCTTAGTCAAGCAGTATACTGCAATTCAAAGACCTCTTTTCAAAGATGTTACAAGAAGCCTCAGGTTTCCTGATGAAATCAGTGAAGTATATAACACTACAGTTACAACAGGTGGACATAGGGCTCCTGAATAGTGTCACTGTTGGAATTTAGGGAAACTTTAGTTTATTCTTACAAAACAACACCATGGATATTATGCTAATTTCCTATCTTGTTAAACAGATTGGAAAAAAAGTGGAGAGAGGAATGACTCAGTATGACTTTTAACATTTAGAAGCCAGAAAGCTATGTAACACTGATGGTGCTGGCGGCATACAAAAGTCTAATTTAAATCACACTCCATTCCTCCTAATTAATAGATCAGGAATATCTTATATATCCACTCTTCTCTATCATTGTTCTTCCAGTTCTTTCAAACTGTAAGAAAAATATGGGAACATTCACTTTGTCACTGAATGGACAAGGCTGTGTATATGCAGCAAATTCCACAGGAGGGCAGAATGTTGCAGTGAGCACAGTAATGTAACTGTTAGACTTAAGTCTGTAAAAAGATGTTTAAACTCATGTTATCAATGCCTTGTTAAATGCCAGAACCAAAAATATTGCTAATCTGCCGTCTTCTGAGAGTAGGCCTTCAGTTTCCTTATTCATCCCATTAATGTCAAATTCAGAATTATGTAAGAAATTCCAAACATGAAATTGGTCTGATTCATATAGACTGTTATGTTTTGCATAGAACTAAACTTGCACCTGCATGAAAATTTTATACTTAGCCAAAACCTGCACATGCACACTTCCAAAATTTATCATGGAAACCTTTATCATTAATACAACTCAGATTCTATAATTCTGAATTAATTATAATTCAGATATAATATGGCACACATTCAACTATCCCTTCAGTGAAATGGGAATTGGTGATGTATACATGAGTATGTTATTTGTATTATGATTTCAAATGTTCTTAACCAGTGTCACCACAGTGAGATGGGCAGATGTATAAATTTAACCCCCCCCCAAAAAAGTAATACATATTCATAAGACTGGTTCACAGATCATATTTTTCTGGAATGGGAAGTTGTAAAAAGAAAATTAGAAAGAAAAAAATAGTGTAGGAAATTGCTTTAACTGGCAAATTACAAACCCAAGAGCATTTAGTTTCACACATGATAATTCATACTCAAGTTTTCATCCACATGAAGCAGCAAAAGATGGAAATGGCTCTTTTCAAATAAAAAAGTTATACTCCTACTTAATTAAGAACAGATATATTGCAACTTTTTTCATGTTTTGATTAATATCTATAACATAGCAACAAACTTACAGCTTCAAGCTGATCCATGAGCTTGCATAAGAATTTACGACATTCTGGGTTTTTACTATCAATCTTCATACCTGTCTGCATAGCATACAAACGACCTGCAAAAGAAAAAGACTCAATGAAGACTTCAGAGGAATTTCCTGTTTCCCTTAGGTTATGGCCAATATATGGCCAATGAAGTCAAGCCCTGTAAGACAGGCAAACCCAGGAAACAAGAACCACTTGGATTTCTGGAAAGGTCTTTGTTGCTAGTATGGTAAAGCATAAAAACTGGAAAGTCTGCTACAGTAATTCTCCAGATCAACTTATACCTAGCATAATCAAGATGGAGTTACTCTAAGTGTCTCTTTTCTAACAGTCCTGTTTCCTTCCCCATGTTCCCAGGGCTTGCTGGACATTCCATCACAACTGTTAAAAAACACCACTAGCTACATTTCAGCTATGTTTGGATGGTAACATATACATAATTTATTAATATCAATGCCTTGTTTGCATTAAAATTCTACCATAAAACAGATAAAAATGGAAGTAATTGAAAGCAGTGTTCTAAAACTTTTGAATTATTAATATGGAACAATGTAGGGATCTAGTTTTTCTAGGCACACCTTAGAGATGGGTATTCCCAGTGGAAATTTTTTGTTTGTTACCACAGTTGATTCCTGTGGTGTATTACAAACTGCTTTGGAAGGACAACTCAGTTTAAAAAATCCTTCCAGGTTACAGGAAAGGATATACAAGGAGAAATATAGTCTTAAAACCCCTTGGGTTCTGTGGCAGGAAGAGAGACGTGCACTCTTCCCATATTTACCCAAATATGTTTTTGGCTTTGTTTAGCATGTTATATTAAAGGTTACACTAACCTGAACTCAATTATGTTTCATTTGTTTGTGACAAGTGCATGTCCATAAAAACGACTATGCCATAATTCAAACAATATTTACCTTAATTAGTTGACTAAACACTGAGGGGGGGGGGAAATAACAACAACAACAATAATAATAGCAGCAAAGATAGTACAAACAATCAAACTGCATTAGTAATAAACCCTTAAGCACTGATGTGTTAAAAGAAATTGTGAAATGGCAAGCATTGTCATAGCATGTTATCCAGATCCTGCCTGACTCATATTTTATGGTTTCCAAACATAGTACAGCTTTCAATCTTCATATGAAGAATATCTCAAAACAAGTGGTATAAACGCTCTTTGAAATAGCGATTCATCTACTATACAATCCTGGTCTGATGTAATAACTGTATTTTTTAAGGATGTAACAAACTACTATTATTTCTAGTAACATGAACTATTGATAGCACTTCAGTGTGAAAACCTGTCCCAATGTGAATACTGTTCTCTCAAAGTGAATCTGAGAATGTCTTCAACAGTCTGAATAAATAGTACCTTTCAACAGCTGACCTGAAGTTCAGACATTTTAATTTTCTACAGAGTAAATGGAAAATGAAGACAACATATATGAATGACATTGGTAAATGAAAACCTAAACTAGATTTAATCCAACAGCCAGAATATGATCTACAGTTTTCTTGGAATAATTACAGATTTGCCACTAAATGGGAAAAAGCTGGGTGAGTTAACTTGCAATTAAACTTTAACTGTACCATTAATCTGACTTGAGATATTCATGTCACTTGTTCCACAGTAATTTTTACTGACTAGCATGAAAGGAAAACAATTCTCAGAAACAAACCAATCCATTAAGATAATGCAGATAAAAATTATAAACACATGCAAAAGTCATATGGGATGCCTAGCTTCCCTAGCTTCTGTTGGGTTGCCAATTCACCTGAAACCAATCCTGGATATTTTTTCTCCCAAATGTGGGAGTGACTCACTTGTATTTGACTGTGCAAATATGTATATATAT